AAAAAGTATTTTACCACAGTTCAGCTTTAAACTTGTGCATCTGGCCTCATATATTGTACAACATATCAAGTGATTCCTACAATGTTATTGTGTATGTAAAGATTTACATACACGTTATTAGGTGACCAGATAGTGCCCCTCCACTGAAAATACAATTCATTCGCTTCTAGTATAAATGTGGTTAGAGGCTCCTTTGTGAGCTTTCAGTTAGCAGGAATGTAGTTACCATGTAGCTGAGCTCCTGAAGCCACTCTCCACTAGTTCCATAGTTAAACCAACTGTGCAGGGAAGTCAAAAACTTTCCACAGCCATTAGATAGTGATCCAAGGAAATGGAATATTTGAATCTAAACACTTGCTCATCTAGGACAATTTGTGGAGATATTCTTGGTATGAAAGATCCTACCTAGATGTGGCAAGAATAATCTAATGTCTATGGCTAGCCGAAGCTAAGGTATAGAGTAAAATTCTTTTACAAACACTAACGTAGATTCAGTGCATTCATCTACGAAAACAAGAGTGGGATTCTCTAACTCTTTGTGAGTAACTTTTTGTGTATTTGACTGAGCTAGTCCGAGATTTTCCAGTGTTTCCTGGATATAATAAGACAGGGATGCATGAAGAACCAGCATCTAGGAAACCTACAGTATATTGAGAGCTTGTGGGCCTGTCTGTTCATATCTCTTCATAACTTTCTTCATCTACAAGTGTCTATGCTTTTAGGGGGGAATATGTGGGTAGTTATTGTAATTGGACAGATTTGTGTTTCTCACTTAGTTTGGCACTGATGTAACTTTCTGCCATGAAAAAATGGAATTGAAATCATGAGTTTCCAGAACGCTCACATACAGGGCCATATAATCATATACCGTACTTACAGTTAAGCAGATTTGCTATCCACTCAGTCTTGTTTTCCACCAAAAATATAAAAAACACAGTACTGAAGCATCTCTCAGAATGGGAACTGTTTAAAGCTCCAGCAATGATCTTTTATGGATACTTTCATTGGTTCAGCTTATGTAAATATTAATGTAGGTATCCATATCTGATATGACGAAGGCCTCTAGGGATGTTGCAAATCACTATAGTAGTCAGTACCATATACAGTGATAACTGGTCTCTTCTGACTGTGGCTTCCTCTCTGCACAATGAGCATAGGGAGGTGTTCGCTTGACACTGTCGCCATCCAGAGAATACCTTGTATATTTTTAAATGAACACAAGGTGTTCTTCGACTGGATAAGCTCGGCCTTTTGGCTAAGATCAAGTGTAGTATCTGTTCTTATCAGTTGTCGGAGGGGAAAGGATGTTGCCACCCGATGGGAGAGCATTCTAATACCCTCTGGCGTAATTGGTGGGTGTCGGAGGATGGTTCGGTCCACTGCTGGTTGCGTCAGACCCTGAGGTTATGGGTAGAGCCCAGACAGTGGGAGTACCCCGACGGCACTACCTCCTGGTATGAGCGGAGAAACACTTGGTCTGGCTGGAGGGTTGGGGGCGGCAGAAGCCCGTGGTGTTGTGCCCCCTGGGGGTGGCGTCCCAGGGGTGCTCAGAAAGTCACTTGGGTATGGGACCCCACATTGACTCACTGATCACTTGGTCACACACCACCTTGCATTTTCTGCACATCGCCTCTTGGAAAGGCCTTATGGCTAGTCCAGGGCAATATTTTTGCACTCCAGCCCCTAAGGCCTGTCAGCATGGTGCACTGGCACTTATTATTTATTGCACTTAATGCACGATAGGCTTTTTTTTAAAGCAGTGACCCACAAATGCAGCGGGTATAGGTTCCTTCGGGGCCTATTCCTGATGTGGGGAGGAGATTATGTGCCCTTATATAGGGTTCTCTGTCTCCTCCCAACCCAGGAGGGGGTCTCTCTTTGGGAGAGCCCCCTGCCTAGTACTGTGAGGGACCTGTTTCGGCAGGTCCCCAAAGGATCGGGGTCCACCGGCCTTCGGGTTGGTGGACCAACAGTCTCAACCCCTGTCAGGAGCCTTGCGCCCCGGGGGGTCGGGAAAGTAGGTCCCTTCTTTTGAAGGACCTTGCACCCTTGTGCACGTTTTTGTGTGCTGTGATTTCACGGTTCACTTTTTTTGTTCACAGGGGGCAGTTTGTTTTGATGCACGTCCACAGGCTTCGATAAAAAAAGCTGTAGTTTGTAACATCGTCCATACCTCCTCTCAAACTCGTCCAATTAAAGAGTGCCTTGTAGTCCATGAAAACAATATAAGGCACTGTCTAAATGGTGGCGGTGCTGAGCATGCAGAACGTTGGCCACTGGAGCCACAGCCAGAAGAGACCCACTATCACTGAATATAGCGCTGACCACTGCAGTGATTTGCATCATCCATAGCAGCTGTCCGGAGATCAGGAATGGATATTAACATTGTGCCAATCTGGAACAATGCAAATATCCATAAAAAGTAATTCCTGGAGTTCAACTTTAAGATAATGAAGCAAATATAACATGCCAGAAGACTCTACGTCCAAAGAACACTCCAAAACTAAACATGTACTTTACTGTAGACACCCACTCTAGGCTCATTGCGTCTGTCACACAGACAAACCAAGATATATATGGGCAAGGGAAATTCTTTTGCTCTAAAGAATAGCTCAGGGATACTCTCCTCGATAAGCTATGACCTACAGACAGGGCCGGACTGGCCATAGGGCATACCGGGCACTTGGCCGGTGGGCCGCGCTGGGCTGAACACAATTAGCCTGATTGTGTTCGTCCCTGCACGGCCCGGCCAACTATGCCCGATGGCTTGTCCCATGTTCCCTGATTACTGGAGCGCTCAGATTGGCCAGGCAGAGCAGACACAGAGTGGAGCTGCCCGACCAGCGGACATCAGACCGCCGTCCAGGACTGAGCCGGAAGGACTGTGCAGGAGACCATGCTGTGCTGGAGAGACGAACACCAGAGTCCCATAGAAAGTAAGCTAGGAAGGAGGAGGCACTACCAGACACTGAGGATTGACCGGAGCACCACTACCCCATGCTGGACACACAGGGGGAAACACCGGATTGATACAGGGTCAAAAATGTGGAGACACACAGGGGCAATACAGGGGCCAAAATGAGAGGACACAGGGGTCAGACCCGGGGCGGAGATACAGGGGCCAGAATGAGAGGACACAGGGGCCAGAATGAGGGGAGACACAGGGGCCAGAATGAGAGGACATAGGGATCAGACTGAGGGGACACAGGGGCCAGAATGAGAGGACACTTGGACCAGACTGAGGGGAGACACAGGGGCCAGACTAAGAGGACACAGGGGCCAGACTGAGAGGACACAGGGGCCAGACTGAGAGGACACAGGGGCCAGACTGAGAGGACACAGGGGCCAGACTGAGGGGAGACAGGGGGGCCAGACTGAGGGGAGACAGGGGGACAAGAATGAGAGGACACAGGTGTCAGGCTGAGGGGAGACACAGGAGCCAGAATGAGAGGACACAGGGGTCAGAATGAGAGGACACATGGACCAGGCTGAGGAGAGACACAGGGGCCAGAATGAGAGGACACAGGCGTCAGGCTGAGGGGAGACACAGGGGTCAGAATGAGAGGATGCAGGGGCCAGACTGAGAGGAAACACAGGGGCCAGAATAAGAGGACACAGAGGCCAGAATGAGAAGACACAGGGGCCAGACTGAGGGGAGACAATGGGGCCAGAATGAGAGGACACATGGACCAGACTGAGGAGAGACACAGGGTCTAAATTGAGAGGACACAGGGGTCTGACTGAGGAGATAGAAAGGGGCCAGACTGAGAGGACACATGGACCAGACTGAGAGGACACATGGACCAGACTGAGAGGACACATGGATCAGACTGAGAGGACACCGGGGCCAGACTGAGGGGGGACATGGGGGCCAGACTGAGGGGAGGCACACGGGTCAGACTGAGGGGACACATATGGGCCAGACAGAGGGGACACACAGGGGCCAGACTGAGGGGGCACACAGGGGTAACACAGGGGCCAAACTGAGGGGACACAGGGGCCAGACTATGAAATGGCGGTGGGTGGGTTGTGAGGAGGAAGTGTTGGTGCTGCTCGGGCTGCTTCTGCTCCAGCTGGGGCTGCAGGCACTGTGTGTGTGTGTGTGTGTGTGTGTGGGGGGGGTCTATGTCCCCGGTGCTGGTACATGGCACGGCTGAGGGTGCTAGGATGCTGGTGCACTGCTCCTTGTATGGATGATCATGAGTACAGCAGTGAGGCTGGCTGACACCACTCACTCCTTTTTCTGTATAAATGAACACTATAAGGCCTCATTCACACGAGAAACGGCCGGCACGTACAACTACGTACTGCGTGCACGGCCGTATCAGGCAGCGCCCGGGAAGGACAGGTAGTGCGTGCATTTAGTACGCAGCCCCTGTCCTTCTCTATGGAAATACGCGGCCGTATGTCGTTCACCTCAAGTGCAGGTCCGTAAGGGTGCGGGCGTCCCGGCTCGGACGCAGACAGGATCCATCCTGTCAGTGTACGAGTATGGACACCTGCACCCGCACAGACGTGCAGGGCAGTTGAGCGTAGGGCGTCGTACGGCCGCATAGTCCCATAGAGAAGTACAGGGGCTGCGTACTAATCACACACAGCACCCGTCCTTCCCAGGAGCTGCCCGATACGGGCGTTCACGCAGCATGGAGCTGTACGTGCCGGCCGTTTCTCCTGTGAATGAGGCCTTATGATGTACTGTGACATCTGAAAATCATTGTCCTCTGTAACGATACAGTAAAGCACATTATTAGGATGTAAGCAGAACAGAGCGAATCTCTATATGCCTGTCCTGTATCTGTGCCAAGGTGATAGCTGGGAATTTCCCTTCTCTTCCCCATTCGTAACACCCTCTTAAAAAAGGGTTAATTCAGCCATTCAAACTATGGAGAAATTGTGTGCCAAAACGTCAAATCTGTCTCCAGGAATTAGCGAGAGAGGAGGTGGCTGGTATTGAGAAACACTATTGGGTAAACATTACAGCGACACAGATTCTGTCCACTCAGCTCCCCTGTCCTTGTATAAAAAGTCAGAGATCTCTCTCCCTATTCCTCCACAAACTGAAGTCTGAGTTTGGGAGGGGGGTCTGCAGCAACAATGGCTTCTACGTTACAACTTATCCTTTGCCTGGGGATGCTGGGTAAGTGAAAGGTGTCTTTGACTTGCATGAGGATGTAACAGTCATTTTTTTTACAAAGAATTTTGCTGTCTTTAAAATAACAGTAAAACTATTATTATTATTATTGTTATTATTATACAGGATTTATATAACACCAACAGTTTGCACATCACTTTACAATATAAAGAAGACATTACAGTTACAATAAAATTTGAGCTAAGTACCCTACTCGGTACAAGTACAGATACTTTTCCAGCTCCAAGACTAGACTAGAAAAAAATTCAAAAGTTAGGAGGCAGCTGTCATTTTTAATGAGCATACGGAGCTCCGGGGAAAGGTACATCCCTGTTTTAATGTATGATTTTTAAAAATAAATATATATTAGGGATGCACCGATACCATTTTTTCAAGTACAAGTACTGATACTTGTCCAAGTACTCACAGATACAAGTACTGATACATTTTTGTTTGTTGTCATGTGACAGTTTTTCTAAAACAATACAGACTAATGATTTCAGGACAGTGGTGGAGTGCCAGAGCCAGGTCCCAGCTGCGACCCTGGTAGTTCTCCTGAAAATGCCAAGTATCGCCACTGGTATCTGAACTGGTATTTGAACATCCCTAATTGCTGATTTATTAAAGCTAGCCTTTCATAACAGAAATATGCATGTCATTGCTTTTCTCTCCTTCTGAAAATATTAGTTGTCTGGCTTTTATATTTATGTCTTGGTTGCAGTACTTTCTGAGTCACTGACCCAGAAAAAGTTTTAGGGTGAGGAATTCTGACTCTTCTCTGAGAGACGCAAAATGGTGATGCATAGGAGTATTGACCAAAGTTCCCTAATATAGTTTTTCCACATGTGTATAACTGATGCATAAACAGTAACTGAGGGATTCCATAAACATTTACTGATAGATGACAGTATCAGAGTTCCATAGTTAGGGGTGTGAAAGCAATTATGAGGTTCAATTATTTGATATTGTTATGCATACTATGTATTTTGGTGACTGCACATGTTATCAGGCAGTTCTCAGGGCAGTAGCTATCAGACCTTAGATAGAGTTTAGCTTTGACTGTCAGAGAGATGTGCTTAGACACAGTTATACCGGGTACTAGTGTACCTGCATTTCAGATTTAAGGACAGCTTAATGTGTATCCATAGGCAAACCTCTTTTGGAAGGAGTGGAGAGGGTTAGACCTCTTGAAAGGTTTTATTACAGTCTGAGTCCCCACTGGGGAGAGTCACCCTTCTGTTTTTTCTGGTGATCATTGTCACCGGGGAAAAAAAAGTGAAGGGAAATCAAACAGTTTAGAGTTGTCCCCAGAAGAAGAGGTAACTGTCTAAGGGTAGAACTGCCCTCACTTTGGGAGATTTCCACTAACTTCCTGTTGCATCTCTAAGGAAGTAAAGGGAAATATCCTCAGTGGTACATAGACAAAAAATACATTGGCAGTGACATAACACTTCCCTGTTCTATCAAAAACGTACAAAAAAAGGCTTTGGCTATATATACATTTTAAGATCTGCTTGTGCTTTGCTTTCATACGTTCATGAATGTCATTGGGAAGCATGGCAAACACACGGTAAACACATCTCTACTGTATATTAAATACATCTAAGCAGGCCATTCAGCGTAACCATTATAGAGTCTAAGGGGTCTATTCACAAAGCTGCCGAAGGATCTAGCCGTAGCTTCGGCCGATCCTTCGGTTAGCTTCGGCCCCAGGACCCCTTCAGTTCAGTAGAACCGAAGGGGTGCTGTACGGGCTAATAAATAAAAAATGTTTCCCATTGAAATGAATTGCTACATTGCTATTGGCTATTTCAATTTTCAATAGCCAATAGTAAAGTAGCTAGCTAGCTGCCACTGCTAGCTCAGCACAATAGTTTTCTATTTACTTTTCTTAAAACTTTTAAAACTATTTTTCTGTTCTGCTCGGTCCCTCTGAGGGACCGAGTAGAACAGCTGAGCCAAATGCAGCTCAGCGGCATTTGGCTATTCACTCACTGCTGTTCGGCATCTATAAGAATAGGCCAAACAGCAGTGAGCCTGCCGGAGGTTCGGTTCAGCCGATCCAGATGTTGGATCGGCTGAGTCGAACTCCTTCTGCACTTCGGGTCGGCCGAACATGCTGAGCACTTCACTTGGGGTCGTTTGTTCACTCGGCTGCCCTCGGCAGCTTAGTGAATAGACCCGTAAGACTGCATATTCAAATTCCTACATACACCCAACTGTGATTGGATTTAATTTAGAGTGAAATAGTGGTGTGGCTTGGTGGGTCTTTAAAAAAAATCTTTTTTGAAACTGAGGTTTGAGGGGCCACATGTCCATGAGTATATAAGATCAGCATTGCTAGCCATACATTACATGGCTCAGTTTTCTTTTGTTCAGTCCGTGGGCCTTCCCCATTCACGCTAAACAACATCAATTGAGGAGTCTCCATTGCCAGCTATTGTGTTCAGGAGTTGTGGCATCTGCAGCTACTTCAATACAGTGCCACTACTGAACAATTACTGCATCTGATAGGGTGCAGTCAATGTTCGGTTGATCATTTTCCACCTGGCTCAGTGGATTGTTGAATAAAACATTTTTAAGATGGGTGATGCTTGTAGGGCCACCCAGTTCCTATTATTTGAGCTGTGTATGGCCAGCAATAGCCTCAGCCTGAGATCAGCTTGTACTTTGTTTTTACTCCTCTAAACAGGTCAAAATAAATGCACAAAGTTACACACATAATAAATGCATGACAGATGTGTCTCCAGTGCAGGTATACACCCTAGATTCCAATAGACAGATCTGGTTATCTGAATAGGCTATTTTCAGCTGGATTGGGTGACAATCTCATGTATATGACTTATCCATAGACATCAGTGTCTGTCAGCTATCAGGGGTAAGACCTTGTCCAGCAGCTACTGAAAACCTTATTAAATAATTTTTTTGTTTCCTGACAAGTTGATGGACACATGCCTCCCCCTATCCTCTTCGTAGGAAGATCATGAATGTCACATTAACCTTTTCATAGGAAAATCATGAATGTCACATTATCCTCTTCACATGGCCGTAACTAGAAATCACAGGGCCCCATAGCAAAGTTTTGTATTGGGCCCTGTGATTTCTAGTTATGCCCTTGCAGAGCCCACCTGATATCCCAAACAGCCCACCTGAAAATGACGCTGCAGAGCCCGCCATAGACTATCTATGGTGGGCTCTGCAGGGTCTCAGGTGGGCTGCACACCTCTTACCTGTCAGCCCCGATCCATTGTATGCCTCCATGGTCGCTGGCAGGCCCCACCTCCTTCGTCAGCGGGCCCTGCCTCCTCTTCCATCGTCGGGCTGGCCTCCTCCACTTCTGACGCCGGGCCCAGCCTTCCTCCTCCACAGCTGCTGGCTGTCACTGACTCAGCAGCAGCTGTGAGGAGGAACGCGCCACTGCACAGATCACTGACAGCTTGTCGGTGATCTAACAGTGACAAGTTCCTCCTCATACCTGCCAGTAACAGCCAGCAGCCTGAGATGCCATAGCGACCCAGGCGGCCTGTATGGCCTCAGGGGGATGTCCTGGCCAGGGCCCCCTGTGCCCCGGGCCCCATAGCGGTCGCCTGGGTCGCTTTGGCGATTCTTACGCTACTGCCTCTTCATAGGAAAATCATGAGTGTCTGCTAATCCTCTTCATAGGAAAATCTTGAATGTCACCTTATCCTCTTCATAGGAAAATTTTGAATGTTCAGGTTTAGGGACCCACCAGCAGGCTCAGCTGCTGGAGTACAATCAGATTGTGGGTGTAGGCCCAGCTGCCCAATACCATCTATGAGCATCTTTGGTAAGCATTCAAGACGTTCACAGATTTGTCTGCACTTCCTTTGCATTTTATGTTTCCTAGGCAATCAAACTTAATCAATTGAATTACCTTTGCTGGTATTGTTCTATGAATGGTGTGACTAGCTGCCACTCAATGGGCTTTATTCAGTTAGTTGCAGCAGAGAGTAATAATAAAATCACAGCTCAGATCTCAGGGTAATGTAGTTAGACCAATGGTGGATGATTTCTCATTGGATGCTGTAAGTTATATTGGAAACCTCTGGACATATACTGTTCTGCTGGCCACAAATGGAAAGCTTTAGGCAGTCTCAACCACTATCAACCAGGTGTCAATTGCAAAAACAAAGAGATAGATGAATGCAACCTACCAACTCTTTCTATCAACATTATATTTTATATTTACTCTTCTTGGAGTTATTCTATATATGTAGGCGTCATGTGCAAGCTTATTTTTAAAAGTGAACATGATCTGGTAAAATGCATTTCTAAGGAAACAGAAACAGCAGTGATGAAATGCAGATATCTTGCATGCCTGTAACTACCTATGTTAGACTTCAGACTGATCCCTTTGGAGTCCCACAATTTTGGCTGTATATGGAGCCTTGACTTACATTCAAGGTGAGATAAAGCACTTCCCCGTAAGTTTCAGTATTTTGACTTGGACATGCACTTGGAACAGCTATGCAGATTCAACGTTCTGTGTTAACTCTGACCTTACGGATCTGCTTGTTTGTTCCAGGTCATTGTATAAAGTACTGAAGAAAAAGACAGGCATCTAGTATTTTCAGGAGGAGGTCAGCAAAGACAAACTCCATATTACTTTCAGTGCAGGTTCTTTTTAATCTTTATTAGCTGATGAGGCTGCTTTTGGCTTATGCATTTGCAAAGCATGTTGTGGAGCCAGTGGCATGCTGAATGAACTTTGTTGGGAAGTACAGGCAGTCCCCAGGTTACATACATCCGACATACATCCGACTCCTACTTACAAACGGAGGCTATTACTGTACGGCAGGGGTAGTTGTAATACTACCACGCTCGAGCTGATGAGGAGTGTTCGACTTTTTGGGTCTGGTTCGTAGTACTGTACGTACATTACAGGAAGTTGGTTCTTGTTAGACATACAGATGAGAGGTGCCCACCTCTTCTTCCGGGTCTCTGTGAGGTTTTTACTGCTGTCTGTATCCTCATTAGAAAGATTTTATCTCACTTCCTGTCCTTGAGACAACAGGAAGTGAAAGGAAATCTACGACTAGGAAGGGAAATTCACTCCTGTAAGAGTGATCATGGGAAAAAGGTGTCTCCACTGAAGCGTTATCACAAATCCTTGTTTCCACAACAACCCAAAATTTTCAAAATCCATTTGTCACAGGGACAGAAAGTGAGGTGAAATCTTCTGAACAGGGGCACACAAAGCAAAACAAACTTTACAGGGGGTTAACCCTTCCCTATGCTATCCAAAACGAAAAAAAAAAATTGGGCTGGAGTTACACTTAAAAAATTTACCTGTTCCAACTTACATACAAATTCAACTTAAGAACAAACCTACAGTCCCTATCTTGTTCGTAACCCAGGGACTGCCTGTATGAGTATAGTGCGTTGCATACTCTGAGTGGTTTAGGGACAGGAATTTTTTTTGTTTGCAAAGTGATATTGTTGTAGTTGTACATTAGGTCTATGTCCAGAGACAGAAAGCATAGAGCCTATCTCATGCTGTAAAAACTCTGAAGTAGTGAATTGCCTTTACTGTTTTGCTGTAAATGAGCTGACTAATTAACCGTTTATATTTGACGTGCAGTCCAATTGAAATCAGGGAACAAAAACATTTTATCACTTCTATAAAGTGTGAAAATTATTGAAAATATTTAGTAGTTTTACACATAATGTATTATAATATATCTTTATTATGGTCAGGACTAGTAGAATTGCCAACATTAATGATCTGTTTTAGGCAGGTAAATATGAAACATTTTATCTTAATATTTTTCATTTTTTGAGCCAAGTGGAACTTTAGGCTCCTTTTCACATACGCATGCCTACCTAACGCTTGCTGAAATAAGAACTTTGTACAAGCTCCGCAGCTCAAGCTGCAGTTTACAGACAGAGGTAGATGATTCATCGGCATTGATTCAGTGACTCATCCCTTATCATATGGTTTAGTCTGACATTTCAGGCAGACAAATGGAGCCACAAGGCATGCAGTGACTGGGGTGCTGTCTCTTTAGATAATCCATCAAGCCTTGGAAACACTTTGTCAAAAGCGCAACGCAAACTGTTGGCGTTATATAAATCCTGTATCATAATAATAATGTATTAAATGTTTATTTGTAATACAAAGATTGTATATACAGTATCTCACTGAAGTGAGTACACCCCTCACATTTTTGTAAATATTTTATTATATAATTTCATGTGACGACACAGAAGAAATGACACTTTGTTACAATGTAAGGTAGTGAGTGTACAGCTTGTATATCAGTTGTGAGGACTAGCTTCAAATGGTAGCACATTCAGTACACTTCCACTCGTAGACAACTTATTTTTAGGGCATCCTGCCCACTTTTAACGCACAACTGAAAAGAAAGGTCCATGCAGGTGTTCCCTCGCAGGGGTTTTCAAACATAAAGTACTGTTGTCTGTCACAACAACAACATTTCTCAGTCTCACTGACTTCAGGTAGGTCCTTTAACTTAAATGTCCACTTGCCACATTGCCACACAGGCTGCTGTTTTGCCACACAGGCAATCTGGCAGCCCGCCTCCGTCCCATCGACTATGGACCTAAGATTTTGGAGACCCCCCTTTGTTTGGGGGAACCGGCTGTCCGGGGCCCATGGACGGCCGTCGCGGGGGAGCCTGGCCCTACAGCCGTTCAATTTCACAATCCAATCCCAGCTCTGGAAATACAATGCTAATGATAGTGGACTATCTCGGCAAATGGAACTGGAAGGGTGACTGTAACATTATGGACATCCCCAAGTGGACCCATAGAGGGTCTCACCGGGTCTGCCATCCTTTAACTTGGGGGAGCTATGTGACGACATGGTGATGTGTTTATGAGTCAAATGTGTATTGGTGTTGGGTTATGTTTAAGTGGGTTATACTGAGTAAACTGTTTAGGAAAAGACCCTCGTTATCTCCCATTGTACTCTGAAGGAGCTCAGAACAATGACATTCTGGCCAGGCTTCTGCTATGGCTGTCTGGAGCTATTTAGCAGGGGGACCCCTGTGATGTTGTGAAGACAGAATTTATGGAGAGGGGAAGGGTGATGTGATGGGATTTTAGTTTTATCTGATCACTCTCTGTATAAAAATTTGTGGAGTTGCTCAATAAAGCAGAATTTTTTTCACCCTACACTTGAGTCTCGACCAGTGACTTGGGAAACTGGGAGCTAAACATCAGAGGGTTGCAATATCTCCTGAGCAAGGAAGAATACAGCGGTGAACATACTCATCCTGAGTACTGGGGTCCGTCACAATGACAACATCACGGAGCTGGTGGATGTTAGAGACCTTGCGCTCCTCCGCCTTCCGTTTGAGGATGTCCCACAGATGCTCAATAGGGTTTAGGTCTGGAGACATGCTTGGCCAGTCCATCACCTTTACCCTCAGCTTCTTTAGCAAGGCGGTGTATTTGGGGTCGTTATCATGTTGGAATACTGCCCTGCGGCCCAGTCTCCGAAGGGAGGGGATCATGCTCTGCTTCAGTATGTCACAGTACATGTTGGCATTCATGGTTCCCTCAATGAACTGTAGCTCCCCAGTTCCGGCAGCACTTGGTGAGATACTGTATGCATATGTTAAAACAAAACAGAAAACAAAAAAAAGAGTGACTCAAAATGCACACACAAAAAGGTTAGTCTACAGACTGCTAATGTTTTTTCTTTATAACTTTATGGAGTCAAATGGTAAACATGCTCCAGTTACAGAGACTAAGCCCCAGTGGGGTGGGGGAAGGGAGGCAAATGCATGAGGAAAGGTGGAGTGTCTGCATCACTATAATAAAAAAAAAGTTGTTGAGAAGAATACGTGGTGTGTGTTCTAACTTTTTTTGAGTATGTGAATTTTGGGAGAATATGAGGCCCAGAGTATTGCTGACACCCGGCTGGTGGTCACAAGTGGTGATAATGAAACAGAATCCTAGGATTGTGGCCAAACCCATTGTAGTTTCTCTTTAACTGAGCTTTTTCCACCCATTGTGTCTTCACACAGCCCTGTGCCTTGCAAACCCAGTAAACAACATCCGCTGGTGCGTGAAATCTGACGCTGAACTGAAAAAATGCAGAGATGTGAGCCAAACCTGTGGAAGTGATCAAACAACCGTCAGCTGTGTTCTTAGAGCCAACAATGATGAATGTTGTAAAGCAATTTCTGTAAGTTCATTATTAAGGGTTACTTATGCCACAAGTATTTCCATTTAGTTGCCCCTAGGGGGCATCATGAAGCCATTGACATTCAGCAAAATGCCTTCTGTTGTCTTAGTTACAGTAACACTAATTCTTAAAAATGCATTCAAGTATCCTAACTAGCAACAAAAATGTATCTTATTTGTGTATCACTCGGCTGTAGATCCTGAAATCATCTCTGAATTGGTACTGACACTGTCCTTTCTTCTGGAGGGTGGTTACTTTTGTTCCCCAAGTGGCCACAACTCCAAGCTCACTACAGTAATGGACTACAATCTCACATTTAGTTTACTAATTTGTATTGAGACTGTAGTCCATCATGGTAGTGAGCTTGGAGTTGTGGCTACTTTATAACACACAGGGAGCATGGAGAACAAAAGTAGCCACCCTCCAGAAGGAAGGACAGTGTCGGCACCAATTCAGAGATGATTTGAGGATCTACAGCTGAGTGATGCAAAAGCTAAATTTTTGTTAATAGTTAAGGTACTTGAATGCATTTTTAAGATTTAATTCCTAAATGTTGTTTGAATTTAAGGGGCCTATTTATAAAATAAAATAAAACATTACTTTTTTTGGTGGAATTTTAATATTGATGCGGTTCCACAATTATAAATTTATAAATGACTGTATAAATTTACTGTAAATTTACAGTATTTTGAATGTATGGCTTTGATGCTCATTTCATTACACACTTGAAGCAGAGATCTGCTTCACAAGCTTCTTCTCTGGCTATAGCAGCCAGAGAAATGACAGCTATGTCTGGCCAATTCAGGCCAGTCATAAAACAGTTATGAGGTTATGCCTGGTACCTCACCTTGTAATTAGTGCTCCATTAAGGACTACAAAGGTCACAGGCCCAGATTATTAGATATCTGTTTGACTTGGAATGCTGAGATGGCCTAAACGAAATGTAACCCATCAGTGTCAGGGCATCCTGTTGTAATTCCAACTAGACGTGGTGAGTTTCAGCAAAATAAGGCAAAGATGGCATGTTCATATTAATATTCAGATACTAAGACCTCATTACCATCACAGTCACCACCAGTGATATTTTCAATGTTTAACTCATTCTAACCATGGAATGAGCCATTGGGGTTTATTTGTTTGTCAGTGTTGCTGTAGTGCATAATGGAGCAAAACTCCCTGCCACTCATGACTACATGAATTACTAATGGAAAATATTACAGTAAGTGAGAAGAGGGAACATAGAATGATCATATTTATCCCCCATAATATAGTACAAATGCTCAAAACAGTCCCACTCTCCCAGATTGCTGTCTTACCATTTACCAATACCCAAATACCAGAAAGCTGCAATAAACAACAAGAGTATATATGTCTCCCTAATGTTACAAAACTGAGACATGATACTGTCCTCTACCTACCAAGGGTTAGCATTCTGTGGCAGTGGACTGCTTGTAGCCTCCCTTTTTTCATATCAAGTCCTTTTCCAACTTATATCACTTATATTGCAAAATTATTGACTACAATTTTGACAAATACCAATCAGGTCATAGTGTTTGACAACACAGGCCAATTGAGACAAATACAGTGTTTAGTTTGTCACTGAAAATGCTTGTTTTCCAGGATGACTTGGCAGATGCAATTGCTTTGGATAGTGGAGAAATTTACAAATGTTCCCTGCATCCTTACAACTTGAAACCAGTTATTGCTGAAAACTATGGCACAGAGAAAGGTAAATTGATCCTGTCACTTGCACTGCTACACATTTAAGTATATCAGTCCTCATACTGTCATTGATGCCTTCAACATATCAGTATGCACCCTAAATGCAAAGAAAGAATAACAATTCACAATTAAATTTTACACATGTATACATAAAATTTGTGAATCACTTTTTTATTACAGATCCAGACACATGTTACTTTTCAGTGGCTCTGGTGAAAGAGTCAAGTACTTTCATGTTTAAGGACCTTCGTGGCAAGAAGTTTTGTCACACTGGAGTCGGAAGAGCAGCGGGTTGGACCTCTCCAGTTGGAACTTTCCTGGTAAAACAATTATTCAAATGGGATGGGCCTGAGACCCAATCTCTTGAGAAAGGTAAACGCTGGTTCTTCCAATGCAAGTCTACAAATAAATTGTCTTCTCCATTTTTACAACGTTTCTTTATTTAAAACATTTTCCTGCAGTGATTACGCCAGGCACAGCAACAGATCACCACTAAATTTATATTCCCTACCCAAGCTACTGTCTTGGCCAAAGACTATGTTGGCTGTGCACAAATACAGCCCTGGAGCTCATCTTGTTAAAGTGTGATTTCTTGCATTACAAACCCCACTATGTATTGTTTCTTGTACAGCAAAGATCTCCACTTTTTGGCAATATGCAATGCTTTGTTTTAATGTTGCTGTATTTGGTATCTGGTCACACAAGTAACATTTTGCAACGACATCAACTAAACATTTAAGATAGCTTAAGCTAAGAAATAGGTTCAGTTTAATGGCCCACTTCCCAGCAGCACATACTTGCCTTTTCGCCATGTCAGGAGCAAAAAAACATACCCAGTGCTTCTTGGTATGGAGAAGCATATGACTCACTTCATGTGTCAGCCAATTACAAACACCAGGGCTGTCACGTGGAGAGAGTCTATAGACCAGTGGAAGGCTGCAGGCTTATGACTAAAGCATTTCGTAACTGGATTTTCCTTGCTCTCAACACCTGAATAAAGCAGCAGGGTAATGAAGGAAAGATAAGTCTGTGTTGCTGGGGTGGGAGCAATTGAAAGGAGCCCATCGCCTTGCACCAGCCTGAACAATTATTGAGACCACAACATTATACTGTATACCATATTGCGCTGTTGTAGTGCCAAAGCAAATCTTCAGGTTAAAGGAGTACTCAAAATTTGTCTTCCCCTGCTAGTGAAAAGCCACATGTTGTCCTGGCTGTGCCCATTATAGTTGTTAAAGGAGAACTATGGGGTCAGGGCTTTTCCCCATAGTTCTCCTTAGGGTAACGGGAGGACACAAACTACCGTCCTCCTGTTACCCTAAGCTCAGTATACCGCGAGCTACAGCTCGCGCTATACTGAGACGCCGCTGGCTGACCTGGGTGTTTACACCCCCTTCCTGCCCAGGCCATTTTTCAGTATTCAGCACTGCGGTACTTTGACTGACATTTATTCCGTCATGCAACACTGTACTGAAATAAATTGTATACCATTTATTTAGGGACACATAGAGCTTTCTTTTGGTGGTATTTAATCTTAACTGGGATTTTAATTTTTTACTATACAATGAAAAAAGGACCAAAAATTTTCAAAAAAAGACCTGTTTTCCCTACGTTATGTTATAAAGCATTTATTATTACCCAATTTTTTGGTAAAATATAAAAGACGGGGTCACGTCGGGTAAATAGACACCAAACGTGTCAAGCTTTTTAATAGCATGCGCTCACAAAATCGCAAAAAACTACCATGCCTAAAATTGGCCAGAGTCGATGCTTTAAAAGCTTTTACCGCTCATCAGTTTGGTGTTATCAGTGATTGAGGGGCCTAGAATTATTGCTCTCACTGCGACGTTCGCGGCAATATGTAACATGTGTGGTGTAATCGTATTTGCACGTAGGTGCGCCCGGAGCATATTTACGTGTATCAGTGCGTGCACGCAGAGACGGGGACTTAAAACTTTTTTTTTTTTTTTTAACATTTAACTTGATTGCTATCACATAGGGGGCTAAAAAGCCCCCAATGTGATAGCTATAAAAAATGACAGGTCCTCTTTATGGAGACATGAGGGGTCCCCAAAGACCTAGAGACCCACAAAGAAGCTGATAAAGCAGAGCTATCTGGCAACGGGGGGAGGGGGGGGAGCACGGCAGCAGGGGGAGGGGGGCGCCGCACCATGTGAGGCTATACAAGCGCTTGTATGACACAACCAGTAACAGCTGTACACATTCGGTGTGTGTAAGCGTTTTGATAATTCTCCTGCATGATTTTTTATAAGGTTGAAAAGTTCTCTTCATTCCAGTTTAGTACATTATGCCTGAAGAGTAGGGTCACAGTGAACATATTTAGTCAATTATCTTCTTCTATAAATAGGTAAGATATTTCCATAAACTATACAGGCCACGTGCTCGGCATTGTGGGTTGGGGTGGATTTTAGATGTCAAAATTTTATTAGAAAATTAAAAGACTGTCTTAGAAAAAGTTTGACATTCTGATGCATCTATGGCATACAGTTCTATTGTCTGACATGAGATTTCTTGCTTCCAGCTTTTGCAGCCTTTGTTTCTGCTGCCTGCGCTCCTGGAGCCAAAGAGCCGAACTTGTGTAAGCTGTGTGCAGGGAAGGATGATAAAAAGTGCAAGGCATCTGAAAATGAGCCATATTATGGCTATGCTGGAGCCCGCTTGTAAGTAATCTATGCAATCCACTATACTTAGACTTCTACTCTGAGTTGAAATTTTGAACAGCCACCACCAGGAATCACGTGGACTATCTCTTTTTTTTCATTATAACTACCATTGTCTGAGACGTTCACTTTCACTGGTTAGTAAACTACGTGATGTCATTCCTGATGGTGCTGAGATGTACAGAGGACTGGTCACATTTGTGGCCACAGCCACCAATTTATTTCATTTATACATCCTCCAACTGTCTTTTTCCTGTGCCTGTTAATTTCTGATTAGTTGCTTTCTGTTAACAAAGACACACTAACGGTCAAAAGTTTTAGAAATGTAAGCAGTTCAAGTCCAGTGAATATCCTGAAATGGTACAAAAAAAAAACCCAAACGTTTAGGTTAACAAAAATGGAAAAAATATACATGTCAGAGTTATACAAAAAGACCTTTTTTCAGGGAAGACGTAATAGGTTAACAGCTCACAGTTGTTCTGCAGCAATGTAAGTAAATTAAGCCTTGAGGGCCCGTTCACACCAGATGCAGTGGGTTCCGGCCCGATTCTAGCCAGAACGCACTGCCTCGCATTGTGAGGCAGGAGCGGGCGTGGCGGGCCATTGAAGTGAATGGCACCGTAGCCATGCCCTCCGGCCACAATGCGATGGGCCGCACAGGATCGCAAGGTACATTATGCCATTATACATTCTCCAACTTTACATCTGGTCCATAGCAGGATATTAAAGGGGGGGCTTTAAGATCATAACATTCTTATGAACAAGGATAACCCTTCTGCTTAATGCCCCATGGTAAAAGGATGCCGTCCCCCAACACCCCCCCCTCCAGGGGGACGCTGTATGCTCTGAAGGTCTGGAGCACCTGCCACCATATTGTAAAAAAGCAAGCAGTTCTGGCTAGAGAAAAAAAGGAGGGCAGTCAGAGAGCACGGTCCCCCAGCATGTTAGGATGCCAACAGCTAAGGGAATGGGTAAAGGCAGAGCGACCAGTGCACTGTCAATGTTGCTTGAGCAGCACCCAAATCTCCCCAGGACATAAAGAATGGGGCTCTCCACCAGGATACTTGTTTAGATGCCAAACAGCGGAGTCTTTAGTCTCCATTCAAAGTAGCTGATAACCTGTCAATGGTGCAGATAGAAGAAATAATTTTTGCCTAGGTCTGGACTTATAGACAACTCACCCTATGGAATGGAGGGGCAGAGCAATAACCCATTGCATACTGTCATGATGCAACAGGAAAAATAGTTACAAGCCTCATGCGTTCCTAAGTCATTGCATAGAGATAATTAAAGTGTATCTAAACCCAAAAGCAAACATTTTATATGTTGCAGCTTACCAGTCCTTTCTGGCAAGATCAATAAGTATTTAATTCTTGCAGCCACCACATCTATGGACGGATAAGCTTTAATTATTACTTTATCATAGAACACACAAGCCCTGAATACATTTAAAACTTGTATATAACTGTTACAACTGTATCATAGCATTTTTTTTTTCTTTGTGCAGATGTCTGAAAGATAAAGGTGATGTGGCATTTGTGAAGCATCTTTTACCAGGTAATCCAACTATCATTAATTAAGCCTTTTCTTAATATGTAGACATTTAAACCTGAATGCTGAGCACAAAAATGTTATTTAAATATTTTCCTTAATTGTCATAATTGTGATACAAATCTCCTTTTTGCCCACCTTTGCTAACTCAGATATTACCTCGTATAAGTGACATTATTACTGGGCTGTACATAGCCAGCGCAGAGAGCAGAGCTGTGGGAGCTCCACCCACTGCAGGCTGCCTATAGAAAACTACAAGGGGATGGATAAAGACTAGTCACCCTGCACAAGGAGAGAGTGCAGCAGTGACTGGTCTTTATTACAGGAAGCTCCTGCACAGAGGCAAAGTTTAACACTGGATTTTACATTGGATTACTTCACAGACCTAGAAAAAATACACAAACCACATCAAGATTCAATAGGAGTACACATGGCTTTTGTATTTAGACAATATTTGCTTATTACGGAGTTCAGCTTTAAAAAAAAAATGTACATTTGTTTTTATAGTAGGAATTTTAAAGTTTAACAAATTGTGTGGATACAAATATTGCTTAGCAAATAGAAAAATTAGATGTACTTAGCTGGTCAGTAAGGATTTGCAGAAGCCGGTTAATTATGCATCACAAAACATTTCATGATATCGAACCTGAGGTAATTTGAAAATGTGTTTGAATCTTTAACTGTAACCTATTAAAGGAGAACTATGAGGTGAGTGAAAATCACTCAGCCTCACAGTTCTAGCCGACCTGTGACAATGAAACTGTCACAGGTCGGCTCAATAAATCGGGAAGTGAGCGAACGCTCGCTCACTTCTCGATCCTGTACCTGCAGAGAGCTGTGACTGTCATTCACGGCTCTCTGCAGGCGGAACTGACGGGGGAGGGGGCGGGTACAGCTGGCTCTGCCTCTGGATAGGCAGAGCCAGCTGTCAATCACGCAGCTGGGTGGATCTTGACAGTTATGTCGGGATCCGTCCCGGCTGCGGCGTCTCAGTATACTGTGAGCTGTAGCTCGCGGCATACTGAGCTTAGGGTGACGGGAGGACGCTAGTTTGCGTCCTCCCGTTACCCTTAGGAGAACTATGGGAAAAAGCCCTGACCCCATAGTTCTCCTTTAACAACCGTGTCTTAGTCTCTAAAACTTTGAAGGTTGGTGAAGTGAACCAAGACTAAGGACATTCAAGTATCTACATATGGTAACAAGCAGTGAAAGCACTTTAAAATAAGAGTATATAAACAAAGGAAAGGAAGCCACACTCTGGATATTTTAGCTGCTATATTTTTTTAAATATTTCACCCGGGGGAATTGGTGGTATTCTACCACTAAACTCCTATTGAGTGATATTCATCAGATGGAGGAGCTCGGGTGATCTGCCTTTCACCAGGTGGAATAATAAAAGAATACAGTAGCTTGAAAGATCCAGAGTGCGTTTTCTTTCCTTTGTGTACTGTTGTGAGGGGGGAGCTGCTACCAAGCACTGAGGTGTGCTTCAAAGGTAGAACAATGGGTTTCTTCAGCTTGGAACTGTAAAACGAGCTTCCCTTGTTTTTATTGTGATCCTCAAAAATCCTCAAAGGCCCCTGCAGGCTGTTCTTCCAGCCCCAGGTCCATATCAAAGTACAGACCTTTGGTTATGGAGCTGGAGAAAGTTATCAAGGATTACAGAAGCCTGTGGGGAGAACATGGTGTGAAAGTTGAAGTTACCTTTGAAGGTTTCAGTAGTTTTAAACTTTAAACTTCTCCATAATGCCTACAGCTACAGAGGTTAATGGTTTATTATAAGTGCTTTTATGTAAAATAAATGTAAATACTTTATTGTGCCTAGCAATTGAAATGTTATACCTAGGGGAGAATTCTGCTGTGGAACTATGCCTTGAATGTTTCCAGCCTTGTAGGACTGACCTATAATAAACATCTATGGGAATCATCCATCAAGAAGACTTTGGTCACAAGCTGTCAACATTTCAGCAGGCCACAGCTTTGATATAAGCATAGGTATGCATATTGAGTGTAGATGGGTGGACTACTTTAGATCAGAGGTGGACATTAGCTTTTTCATGGGAAAAGTTGTTCTGTTCCTGATGCAAACCTGCTCAGCTTGACTTTCTGAGAAGGAGAAGTGGGTACAGCTAGGCCTCATTTTATTTAATTCGGCCATAACTGTATGACACAAAGACATGAAGTAGCATGGATTTTACTAAGAGGTCTTTTTTCTGAAATTGCATTGGGCTTTTGTTATGTGGTCAGTTTAGAGTAAAGGAAAAAATAAAACAAGATCTTGTAATTAATTCAATTTACCCAAACAGTAAGTTTGGGAAGTGTATAGACTGCCAAAGAGATGCATCTGAGCACTAGTAGTGAAATTGCTATAAATTAGCATTATAGCTTCCACAGAGACCCAGGACACACATAACAGTAGTTAATCCATACATTCTACAGTGTTTCTCTTGTGGATGGTATTACTGATTGCATATTTGTTTTCAACCTAAATTATAGTGCTGGTAAAAAATGATCAAATCCGGCTACTGCTCCCTCCCAGTTGTTGGATGTGGTAACATGTGTGTATATAGGATTTCTTGGAATGTTCTTCTAGCTCTCTCTGATATAAAAAGAAACAAATAAGCATCTATACATGCACCAAAATGTACTTTCTCATTTATCTTGAGCATGCGGTTCAGTTTCGGTCACCGATCCACAGAAAGGATGTCCTTAGGCGGGAGAGTCCAGTGAATGGGGCAACAAACAGGCCCGGATTTCCCACAAGGCCACCGAGGCCCGGCCTCGGGGCGGCAGAGCGCAGAGGGGCGGCAGTGGTGATCAACAAAGCTAATACAGGTTAGAGGACCTAAACTATGAGGAAAGACTGCATGCATTAAACTTGTTCACTCTCGAAAAAAGGAGACTGAGAGAGGACATGATAATAATGCACAAATTGTTTAATGGTGACGGGATAATAATAATAAACTGTTTGTGGTTAGTTCACTTAAGAAGACAAGAGGCCACCATCTGAAACTGGAAGAGAAAAGGTTTCATCTTAAACTGCAAAGGGGATTCTTTTGTGGGAGAGATGTAAAGCAGTGGTTTCAGCTGAGAGTATGCAATCATTCAAGACCTGTCTAGATATTTTTGTCAGAGAGCAAGATATACAGTGGTACATGTAATGTTAGCAACTCAAACACACACACGCAGAACCAACCACATGGGTTTAATTCGATGGACCTGTGTCTTTATTCAACCTCAACAACTATGTAACAAAACACACATAAAGCAATTTATTTTCCATGTACGAAATGATGAATTGTGCATCTACATCTATCTGCAGATGAATTCCATAAAGGTTATATGCTGTTGTGCCTCGACAATACTAGGAAGCCAGTTGAAGAGTATGAGAAATGTTTCTGGGCAAGAATACCAGCTCATGCTGTGGTGACTGCAGACAGGGCTGAGAAAGTCAAATCTATCACTCAGTTCCTTGAGGAAGCTCAGGTAAACCTTTTCATTTCCCACAATAACTAATTCATAAAAGTATGTAGCACCCATTTCTGCTACAGCACAGTGGTAAAGTTATGAAATCATATTGAGTAAAGTTCTAATTATATTGTATATGCTACATTAAAAAAATACATGTTATTTCCTTGGTAAGGGCAGGAGGCAACTTGCAATTACCAACGAACATCAAAACATATTTGATTTGCAGAATATGACAATTTGTTGCTTAAGGTGCATCCAAACTCAAATACAACATACTGTATATTGATACAAAATACTGTATATTGCAACTTACCAGTCCTTAGAAGTGGTGGATGCATGTGTTTCCTTCAGTCCCTATTCACACCATCACATTCCATGAAAGCACAGCAAACTTGGAAAAAAACATGCACTTGGGCACGCATTCACGGAGCGAACAAAATGTGCAACACGCTTAGTGGTGCTGTTACTAGTTAATGGCACTTCAAACATGCCCAGTATGCACAGGAAAAAAAATGTGGAACCATGTAGCAGATTTTTCTATATGATCTACTTTTCCTTCGCTTGGCATGTGTGCACCACCTATTGTTCCAGATACGCAATGGTGTGAATGGGAACCTATTTTGGTAATCCCACTAGTAACTTCCTGTCTTAGAGTGACAACGTTCACTCAGCGTACTGTATCTATGGAAGAATAATGTCACAATAGGCTGTTCTCCTGATTAGGAATACACATATCTCTCCCTGATCTCTATTACATAAAAAGGTGGTGTTATGTAATTCAAAAAAGGTATTTGTGAATGCTGATATTATTTGAGATATCAGTTCAGTGCATAGGAAGTTGAACACTGAAATTCTGGCACGATCAACAGGTATTTTTTTGTACTTGCAGAAAATGTACTAAAGCTGGCCATACATTGTGCGAATTTCACCCGGTTCTTAATGAACCAGCCGAAATTCGCATAGCATCCCTCGATCAGCTGACCGAAGGAGCTGGTCAGAAAAAGCCAATGAGCTGTTGGTTCTGCTCGCGTATTCTGCCGGTGACTGCTGTCAGAATACAGTAAAGACAGCGGGAGATTCCTCAATCAATCCTCATAAGAGTTGATGGAGGAATCTGTTATATTTCCTTTGTTTAACCAGTAGGTTAAACAAAGAAAATATTACAGTGTATAGCCAAAAAAATAGGAAATCTAAAGCAACCACCACACCTAAGGACTGGTATGTTGTAGTATATACAGTTTTTGTTTGGACTTGTATACCATTTAAGCTGGCTGAATTTTCATGATGTACATTAAGATTTTCAATTAATTCCCTGGCAGAGGATATCATGACCATTCATACAGATTTGCCTAAGTTCTCAGTGCGCTAGGCTTTATTTATATCTACTCATAACTTGGATGACAATATCACTGCAAGATAGAGAACAATATCTATGCTGAAATTCACTGAAGAAAAAATAAAACAAAAAGTAGTGCTGCCTTTGCTCTGTAAGTATTGCATATGACAAAAAATGTTAAGGTTTCTATTTCAGTGACTTAACCTGAACCTGTAAGCGATCTGAAACATTAAAAGCTATAAGTCCTACCTTAGGTACAGTAAACTCCCCATTATCCCGCATTCAAGCAACCGACACCCTCAAGCAACTGGCAAAAACAAATCGAGGACATAATATGTCCTCAATTTTTTTTTTTTGCTGGTGGCTTAATGCACATTAAAAAATTGCCGATTGCTTGATGCACAGTACACAAAAAAAATGTTGTTAGAAACTAAATTTATTTAGTTGACAAATAAACTCTTTGTTTACATCATGCTGCCGGCCGACGGCTATATTAAATTCACCTGTCAGCTGCGGAAGCTAGGTGGCAGGTGAATGGGGCTGCATGGGAAGCGGGGCGCCGCTGTAGATGGTTGCTTTAGAGTTATTGTTAACTCTTAAGCAACCAGAAGCTACAGTTGTCCAGCACCTACCGATCCCCGTGGGTGCCGGATAACTGAGAGTTTATTGTATTATCTTTATAAGACAAGACACCCAACTGACATGCTTTTTCTGGATATAATTTAGGCAGCTTGGCAATGTTTAGCTTGGAAGGCAGGAGAGTAACCATCATTACTTACCTAATTACTGTCCTTTGTTTATTCTAGAAAAAAGCAGAATGCAAATTGTTCAGTTCTCCTCATGGAAAGGATCTGATGTTTAAAGATTCTGCAACTAGCCTCATTACTCTCCCAGAGAAAATGGACTCCTTCTTGTATCTAGGTCCTTCATTTACAAATGCCAATAAAGCCCTGTATAATGGTACGTGGCCCACATGTTTGCTTTATGATATACATATTTAGTGTCAGCTACAGAAAGACGGAGCCCGGAGAGGAATAATCTTATTTGTTTTTTAATCATTCACCTATATAATCAGGGCTGTATTTATAAATCATGCAACACTGCATGTACATTTGTTATGGAGGCAAAAATGAATGTACCAATGACACCGCAAAACTACTCATACACTCCCTTGTTATCTCTCATCTTGATTATTGTAACTCCCTCCTCATTGGCCTTCCACTACACAGGATATCCCCCCTTCAGTCTATCATGAATGCAGCTGCCAGACTCATTCACCTTACCAACCGCTCAGTGTCTTTAATAATAATAATAATAGTATATTTTCTTTCCAGGTTGAATATAATATCAGGAAATACCACAATATGGCCACTAGATAGAGCTGAGGAGCATAGGCAATAAGTATTTATTGCCTATGCTCCTCATCTCCATCTAGTGGCCACAATATTACATTTCACCTGGAAAGAAAATATACTAGTAACATTTTATTTTTACCTCCATGCGAACAAAATGAATGTGTGTGCAGTTTATCAGGACGAATGGCCCTTTATTTTTTGGGTAAATACACCCTTAAGTGTAAGTATAGATAACTTATCTTTCAAATGCAAGGGATTTGCAAGGAATTTCACTCTACCACAAAGTGAAATTTCTGCTTTATGTAAGATCAAAAAGTACTGTGCTTCACAGCAGATACTTGTGCCCAGGCTGCAGGCTCCACAGTGGTTCCTCCTCCATCTCAGCGTACAAGGGAAGGTAGCCACAACCCCAATTTAAAAGCTATAGTCAAGAGTTTAATGAATGGTCCAGTGCAAGACAGGGCACCTGAATGCCGCCCTCTGATGCACTTCAATCATAATGAGCTTATTTGTAGGGTATACTACGAGTATGCTAAAAATTAGTGAAACACTGCAGAGGCGGCATTTACGTGAACAGTCTTGCACTGGACCATTCATTAAACTGTTAACCATGACTTATTGGAATGCGGCTACCTTCCCTTTTACTAGTACTGACTTCTGTTTTCTGTAGATGCCATTTTTTTGGGAAGTCACCCAAATGCTCCATATGCTGGTTTGTAATAAATGGTTGTTTTGGCTGTTAAATCCCCAAAATATGGGGTCTAGTGTATTGGGGTAGGTTACAGTGTAGGTTTAGAATGTAATTGTGGTAGATACCCTAGTCATAGGCCTAAACTGTAGATTTCTAGCAGTGTTAGTGAACTCCAAATACAATTCGTACCACTTTTATTACAGAGTTGGAGACTCCATCAGAGGAAACAATCCGCTGGTGCACACAGAGCGTAGAGGAGAAGAAGAAGTGTGACCGTTGGAGTATTGCAAGTGAAGGAAGCATTGAATGCATTGAGGCTTCCAGTGCAGACGAATGCATTACCAAAGTTTTGGTGAGTGAGACATTTCTAAAATAGAAACATGGACACAAAATGGAATTTTTACCCTGATATTTCAGTAGACAAGAGGGAATTCATAGCTGTGTAGGCCTCTTTTAATAACCCAATTTATGAGGCATTCCCTGCTGCTCTTAACTATTATTTCTTACATTACTATTCTATAGAACTGTCCAATCCATTGTATCACCACAAAGTAAGACCTAATTATTATTGTATTGTGTGCTACATAGTTACATAGTATTTAGGGTTGAATAAAGACATACGTCCATCAAGTCCAACCCATATAGGTCCACGCATCATCTCATTCTTAGGGATACTGGTATCCCTGGATATTACAGTCCCTCAAGAAATTGTCCAAAAGTTTCTTGAACAAATCTACACTCTTGGCTGAAATCACTGCCGATGGCAGTGAGTTCCCGACCTTAACCGCTCTTACTGTAAAGAACCCTCTTCGCCCATTGTGCTGGAATTTTTTCTCCACCAACTTTAGGTAGTGGCCTCTAGTCTTTGTAATGGAGTTAATCTCAAACAGTTTGTTGCCAATGTTGCTGTCACCATTGAACATCGTGTACATGAAAATCATATCCCCACTTAATCTCCTTAATTCCAGCATAAACATGTTTAAGGTCAGAAGCCTTCTCTCATAGCTCTGGTCCTCCATTCCCCTAATTAGTTTGGTTGCCCTCCGCTGGACTCTCTCCAGTTCAAGGACATCCCTTCTCAGTACCGGCGACCAAAACTGGACCGTGTACTCCAGATGTGGCCGAACCAACGATCTATATAGAGGCTACTGACCAGCCTATAGTTCCCTGGTTGGCATCTCGCCCCCTTTCTGAATATTGGAACTACCGTAGCCCTCCGCCAATCACATGGTACCCTACCAGTCACTAAGGATTCCTTAAAAATTAGGAATAATGGTCTTGTTATAACCTGGCTTAGTTCCCTAAGTACCTTGGGGTGAAGGTTATCTGGTCCAACTGCTTTATTTGCATTGAGCATTTTAAGTCTTTGTTCTATTACGCTTTCCATCAACCATTGCGGTATATTATCGGTTGAACTATGCGTTTTATCACGTACGTCGAACCCGTTTCCCTCCTGTGTATATACTGAGGAGAAAAAATTGTTCAGCGCCTCGGCCCTCTCCTTGTCACTTGTGAGTAACTTCCCGTTTTCGTTCTTTATTGGGCCTATCTGCTCCTTTCTTACCTTTTTACTGTTAATATATTGGTAGAATTTTTTTATTTTTTTTTTTACTATCTGTGGCGATATGCTTTTCGCATTCTATTTTAGCTTCCCGGATTACTAGTTTGCATTTTTTGTTACATTCCTTGTAGTTAAGGAATGCCAATGCCGTCCCTTCCATCTTATATTTTATAAATGCCATTCTCTTTGCCTTAACATGTAGTTTTACAGTTTTATTTAGCCATATAGGTTTAGCCTTTGATCTTTTGTTTTTGTTAACCAATGGTATACACTTTGAAATGGCAATATGTAATGTGTTCCTGAAGCAGTCCCACATTTGGTGCTGATATGCTGGAGCATACTTAAAGCACTTGTAATCCCCGATGAAACTGCAAAACAGCCAAAACATGTTGCATTTGCTTTGTTTTGGGGAGAAGAAATTTACATTTAGTTAGTAAAATTAAATAAGTTAGCATCAGTAAAGTGGAACCTATGGAGACTTGCTAGGAAAAATAATCGTTAAAATGGAGAAATGTTCAATACACATGATTAGGATAAGAAAAGTTCAAATGCCTAGCAAAAAGGAAATATAGGGCGAGAATAAACACTTCAAAACCTTCACTTAGATAAATTGTCCTTATATCATTATGTAGGTTACTGGAAATGTTGTCATGACTGGTGTTCTCCATTAAGCTACCTATGAGCACCTATGTCAACAGCTCTGGTGTCCCGCCCAGCTCACTGGTACATCACCTCCTGGGGGGAAGCTGGACAAAACATCACAGGTTGCTTGCTACAAGCTGTGACTGCCCCCCTGTCACCCCCTAAAGGATGAGGAAATAAATGCTATATGAAACATTTTAATATCTTACATGATTTGCTGGACATAGAGTTAGTGCAGAGATGATGTTATTGATTAAATGGATACCATACCCAAACAAGAAGTTCGGCCTGATTGCAGAGAGTGGTCCATATAACCATTTTGTTTGTATACTTTTGAAATAATATTTAAGACTCTCAAAAACTAAAGAGGTGTATGTGTACATGCTTTTAATCTTGGGCCTGGTGCCAGAATTGGTGGCAGAATCATATTTCTTGCACTGTGTGTGTCTTTCTGTGGGTATGTATGTGTGTGTATGCATGGAGGTGTACAACTTTACCTAAGACAGTTGCTAAATCTTCAATTGGCTTCCCTAATTTATTATAACATAAAGGTGCTGCTGTGATTTTTGCATTTGTGTATTACACTTTGTTGACTTGTCTTTGCAGAAAGGTGAAGCTGACGCTGTCAGTCTTGATGGTGGCTACCTGTATACAGCAGGGGCATGTGGATTAGTCCCAGCAATACAAGAAATTTATGATGGTAAGACAAAAAATAATACAACTGTAAAATAGTAGTATACTTAGCCATAATATACAAAGTCATTACAAAAACGTGGGTGCCACATACACAACCAAATGTAGACACCATCTGACCACATGAACAAGCAGCATTGTTTATCAGATGTTATTAGTCAGCATATACAAATTTTCAAGGAAAACCTGTACTGAATTGAATACGTTGACTGGCCCCTCCCCCCCCCCATATGTGTACTGCCGCTTAAAAAAAGGAGGTCAGCAATGACAGCCCATATATTTTTTTCAGTACAATTTTCCTTCAAATGCCATTCACCATCAGTTCTTGTGATGTGTGTCTACAAATGATAACTAGAGAGCAGAATTATATATCTGAACTGAGCTATGACTATTGCACCATAAGGTGTCTGGTTCAGACTTAAAGACCGTATACAGTAAAATCCCAGTTTTCTATCAGGTCAGCTCCTCTGCTCAGTGGGAAGGCGAAATAGCCAATAGCAGGCTGGCTATTGAAACCCCACCCACCAAACAGAGGAGCGGCTTTGATAAATTTATCTCTCAGGTCCACTACTCTGCTCAGTGGGCGGGCCCAATAACCAGCCTGCTATTCGCTCTTGCAATTTGAAATAGCCCATAGCAGACTGGCTATATCTCCCCATTGTTTACATTCTGCTGCTGACCGCGGAATCTTGCAGCCAGTAAACAAAGAATTTACTTAGCAACTAAATAAATGTAGTTGCTAATGATTCTTTTTTTTCAGTGTGTACCAAGCAACCAGCATTTTTTTTTGTGTGCATATGTCCTCGATTTTTTTTTTCAATTTGTTTTTCCTATTTAAATAAACTTAGTAAAGAGGTATAGAGGAAACGGTTTATGTTGGGGAAATACCAAAGTTTTATTTATGATTGTACTGTATGTAACAGAAAGTGCTTATTTAATTTATTTATTATATGTGTTATTTCTCAACAGCTGAATTGTGCAAAAATAAAAGAGAAAATAAAAAAGGTAAACTTGTTTTAATTAGCCCTAAAGTGATATTAAAGTCAAAAGGTTTTTAAGCTATTTCAGATGCTGATTAAACCACTTACTATGGATGCTGCTTCTTAAAGTTTGAAAGTCTTAGCTAACTGCAAAATCAGCTGGTCCCCTGAGCACTGGTCCTGGTATCTTATTTTAGAGTGGCTCCTTTTCCTTGCAGGGTCCTATGAAGCCCCCCTTGTGTATGCTAGTAAACTATGTGGGGCTCCATAAAAACACACAGGTATAGCAAGACAAGCCAATCCCCTCCGCCCTGCTACTACCTGTTCCCTTCTCCAAGCTAGTCGATGGACAGCTGCTGCAGACTGCTCTGTCCCTTGTGATCTTATACTGGACAGTAAGCTCAGGAAAGTTTAGTTGAGAGAGTTGGAGTTGTTCTTAAATATAATGACTGTAACTGCTTGGAGAATAATGTAAAAAAAATACTTTGCTGGGCAATGCATATTTGTTTGATCTGCATTCATGATTGAAAAGAATGTTAGAGAGTTTAATATTACATTAATTTGTAATGTACAATATAAAATCCAGTGTAAAGATGAAGGTCACCAGCCAACCCTATATGTACACAGGCACAGACCCAAGTTCACTGCTCTTCTACTTATTGCCAGCACAGGTGTACATTATTCCTTAAAATAAATCTGCACCTCTAAAGAATAGTCACTTTGTCTTTATATGATTGAAAGACTGTACATGGTCTTTATTTAATGCATGTTATATTGAGAGCATGTGAACCAGTTACATATTGTTTTCAGACTTTGCACAGTTATATATATTTTTTTGCATAGTGTTTTGGAAGTACTCGATCTTGAGAAATGAAACTACTTTCTGATTGCAGAAATATTTTTTTCTCCTTTGGTTTCCACCAAGGCACATACAAAGCTGTTGCGGTTGTTAAGAAGAGCAACAAGGCAATCACCTGGAAAAATCTAAGGGGCTTCAAGTCTTGCCACACAGGTCTGGGACGCACCGCTGGCTATAATATCCCTGCTGGTTTAATTCACAAGCAAACTGGAGTTTGTGATTTGGGTAAGTTAATATTTGATAGGAAAACATTAGCTCTTTGAGGGCAAGGACTGATGTGAAAGTGCACTATGCATAAATTGTCAGTGCTATCTAAAAAACAATAATAACTCAATTTAAAAAAATTCTGAGGGAAGACATTGCCAGACAAGGTATTAAAATATGGAGTAGATGCATGCAGATATCAAATCATATTATTTGTTCTGTACTTTTACTGATTAGATCACTTGTATGAAAGGAGCAGCGGCGATCCTGTCCGCCCCGCCGCAGTTTTCGGGGGCCCGCGCTCCTCTGGCATCTGGCCCCCTACGGCATAGGAGCTCACCATAGAGCCCGTAGAGCAGACGAAGAACGTCTGTTCTTCGTCTGCACTGTGTGATCACTGAGACCGTGGCACTGCAATCACAGGGCCACCTGTCTCAGCTGTCAGGAACTACACCGAACCCTACCCTCACCAGGTGCGTCTTATGGAGCGAAAAATATGGTAATTATATAACTATGTAACTTTGAGGCCCCGTTTCCACAAGTGTGATTTGTTGAGCTTCCGCCAACGTGCTACAATGCGTGGCTATGGAATTCACATGATTCTCTATGCTGCCCATTCACACCTATGCAACGTGGAAGAAAGCAGGTCCTTCTTAGTGTCGCACAGTGTGTTTTTGGCCCTATAGACTTTAGCGGGAATACATTTAAAAAAAACACGCATCTTTGTGCATTTAAGTGCATGACAACAAGCTGCCACGCAAGAAGATGCATACACGTGTGACAAAAATGCACTGAAAAATGCTGAATTATACAGCAGCACTAGTATAAAACTAGGCTTAGTATAACACACAGTCACTGAGGTCACCCTTCTTGGAGCATTTGAACAAGTAATATTTCAGGAATTAGTGAGAATGGAGTGATTATGTCACTACACTCCATTCCCTTTTTATCTCAGCCCTGCAGAGGGTGCAAACGGATTACCCTGTGCCATAGTGCAGCTTGCCAAAATGGTGCATGACCTGGGCAGACTGGAAAAGGGCAAATATAAGGGGGGTGTTTAACCAGTTGACATCCGCGGTGTTAAACCCCCTTCCCATCCAGGCCATTTTTCAGTATTCAGCGCTGCGGTACTTTGACTGACATTTATTCCGTCATTCTGTGGGGTACTAGATAGTATCAGGGTGGATTAAAGGAACTTGGTATTCAGATAGGTGCCACCATTTTGGTACAGCAAAGCTAGTCCCTCTCACCCTCCCTAACTTTGCTATAATGCGGTAAATTGTGGACAAGAGGGAGGGGCACAACTAGGGGATTAGTTAAAGGTAAAGTATATTATCATGTCTAGTTGGCTTTGGAGTGTTTAAATTGTGGGCAGGTATTGTCACAGTATGTGTGGGTCTAAATAAGGCAGCTTGTAATTGGTATATGACCTGGAGTCCAAGTTCACTCGTTATGGTGACACTAAACTCAGGAGTTAAAATTTAAAAATACATTCAAGTACCTTAACTATTAACAAAAATGTATCTTATTTGTTGTATCACTCGGCTGTAGATCCTCCAATCATCTCTGAATTGGTGCTGACACTGTCCTTCCTTCTGGAGGGGGGCTACTTTTGTTACCCCATGGTCCCTGTGTGTGTTGTAAAGTAGTCATCGCACCAAGATCACTCCCGTGATGGACTACAATCTCATTTTTAGTTTAATAATTTGTATTGTAGTCCATCACAGGAGTGAGCTTGGAGCTGTCGCTACTTTACAACACAAACAGGGACCATGGGGAACAAAGTAGTTACCCTCCTGAAGGAAGGATGGTGTCAGTACAAACTCAGTACAAACTCAGGACTGAATCTCTCGATGCCGGGGACAGGCAGTTCCGGGCGGGTAGCTGTTTTCTACATTTAGCCCTGCTTTGGGAAAGCAGGACTGAATGTAGAGCGGGGAAGCCGCCAAGATTACTTATAATAAGACTGCAGGTCCGTCCTCCGCCCGCTGCACCACCCGCCTCGGCCAGCCTCTCTCCGGAGATCTTCAGGATGGAGAGCGGGGGGCAGTGCGGAGAACGTCCGTTCTGTTCCGTGTAAACAGCGAGAGGGGAGAGCTGCACTCGCAGCCTTCCCATTTCAGCTGTCACTTGAGTTCCAGCACAGTGCTGTGCTAGAACTCCTGTATTGGAGGTGACAGGTTTAATAAAGAGAACCTATCGTCTCCAAATACTATGACACAGGGGCTTGATAAAAACAATTAAATAAATAACAATTTAAAAAAAGGAATAATTAAAATAAAAAAATAAAAAGGTAATTAAAAAGTAAAAAATAATAAGATGAAAAAATTATACAAAGTAAAAGATAAGATAAATAAAAAGTAAAAAAAATAAATAAAAATTAAAAAAGTGATAAAAAAGTTTGAAAAAAATGAAAACTAACACTGCCTGGTTTTGGGGCATTTATTGAACATTTTGTAACCTGAGTTTTCTTTTGATAAACAAATTGGTTAGTTTAGTTCTGCTTTAAGAAATCAGGTGACTTAACCTGATGGCATCCAAAATTGAATATCAAAATTAGAGGGGGGGTTCTTTTCATGGTTTTACAAACATTTTGTCACTGTCTTTGTTTTGGCAGGAACCTTCTTCACTGAGAGCTGTGTACCTGGAGCTGATCCTAATTCTAACCTCTGCAAGCTGTGCGGTGGAAATGATAAAACAAAATGCCTTCCAAACAACAGAGAGCCGTATTACGGTTATGATGGTGCCCTCAGGTAATGGAATTAAGGATTACTACTGTGATGCAATTTCACTGCAAACTGAATAGTAAAACAAGAGTAGTGAATAACAGTGAATTCTAAGAAAGAAAAAAACAATTAAATCAATCATAATATTTAATTGAAAATATGCTAATAAACCAAAATGACATTTGCTGACAAAAACTGAAAATAAAAGAATTGTCAGGCCGAAAAATATGACACAGAGTCCTCAATCGCTTATTCTGCAGGCCCTGTTACAAATGAACTGGAAGCCTCTATACTGAGTGTTCCTGTTCATTCATAACCTTTGGAGATAGTGTGTTTACTATGTGCACAATCATAGTTACATACACTATATTACCAAAAGTATTGGGACACCCCTCCAAATCATTTGATTCAGGTGTTCCATGAAATTTCCTTGCTACTAAATATTCCACTGTCACCTGTTAGTGGTATTATAACAAAGTGGAAGCAACAGAGAACAACAGCAACTCAGCCACTAAGTGTTAGGCCACGTAAAATGACAGAGCGGGGTCAGCGCATGGTGAAGTGCGCAGAAGTCACCAACTGTCTGCAGAGTCAATAGCTACAGACCTCCAAACTTCGTGTTTCCTTCAGATTGGCACAACAACAGTGTATAGAGAGCTTCATGGAATGGGTTTCCATGGCCGAGCAGCTGCATCCAAGCCTTACATCACCAAGTGCAATGCAAAGCGTCGGATGCAGTGGTGTAAAGCACGCCGCCACTGGACTCTGGAGTAGTGGAGACGTGTTCTCTGGAGAGACCAATCACACTTCTCTGTCTGGCAATCTGATGGACGTGTCTGGGTTTGGCGGTTGCCAGGAGAAAGGGACTTGCCTGACTGCATTGTGCCAAGTGTAAAGTTTGGGGGAATTATGGTGTGGGGTTGTTTTTCAGGGGTTGGGCTTGGCCCCTTAGTTCCAGTGAAGGGAACTCTCATGCTCCCAACTTTGTGGGAACAGGTTGCGGATGGCCCCTTCCTGTTCCAACATGACTGCGCACACCAGTGCACAAAGAAAGGTCCATAAAGACATGGATGAGCGAGTTTGGGGTGGAGGAACTTGACTGGCCTGCACAGTCCTGACCACAATCCGAAAGAACACCTTTGGGATGAATTAGAGTGAAGACTGCGAGCCAGGCCTTCTCGTCCAACATCAGTACCTGACCTCACAAATGTGCTTCTGGAAGAATGATCAAACATTCCCATAGACACACTCCTAAACCTTGTGGATGCCTTCCCAGAAGAGTTGAAGCTGTTATAGCGGCAAAGGGTGGGCCAACTCAATATTGAACCCTACAGACTAAGGGGTCTATTCACATAGCTGCCGAAGGATCTGGCCGTAGCTTCGGCCGATCCTTCGGCTAGCTTCGTCACCAGGACCACTTCAGTTCTGGAGAACCGAGGGGGTGCTGTACGGGCTATTCACAATAGCCCGTACAGCTCCCGATCACGGCCGAGAGGCTCAGTCGAGCGCTGAGCCGTGCTGAAAGACGAAGCTGGCCGACAGCCTGCTTCTGACAGCTGGGCGGAGCCAGCCGTGATCTTACGGCTGGCTCCGGCCACTTTCAGAGAGATCAGCGTCCCTGGTTGCTAACCAGGGACACTGATCTCCAAGCATCTGACTCTCCCTGGCGGCCCGGGAGTCTCCTGCTCCCGGCCGCCAAGGAGAAAAACACCGCTGTGTCTTTTTTCTTTATTCTGACACGGAGCGATGTCAGAATAGAGAAAAAAAAAAAAGTCCCATTCAAAAGCATTGGGACATTACTATTGGCTATTTCTATTGCAATAGCCAATAGTAAACTAGCATTGTACCCGCCCTCTTTTGCAGTTCCCCACCAGGTCCACCAGCAGAGGGCGGGAACAATGCTAGTTTACTATTGGCTATTGCAAATTGAAATAGCCAATAGTAAACTCTCAATGCTTTTGAATGGGAATTTTTTTTTCCTCTATTCTGACATCGCTCGTGCCAGAATGAAGAAAAAAAGACACAGCTGTGTTTCTCTCCTTGGCGGCCGGGAGCGGGGGGCTCCCGGGGCCCCAGGGAGAGTTTTTACATTTTTTTAACTTTTTTTTTTTTACAGCAGCAGAGCCGCCGGACAATAGGAAACTATTGGGCGGAGCTAGCTGTCACTGCTAGCTCTGCACAATCGTTTTCTATTTACTTTTTTCTACTTTTTTCACTCTTTTTCTGTTCTGCTCGGTGCCTCTGAGGGACCGAGCAGAACAGCCGAGCCAAATGCCGCTCGGCGGCATTCGGCTATTCTCTCACTGCTGTTCGGGATCTTTCAGAATAGCCCGAACAGCAGTGTGAAGCCTGCCGGAGGTTCGGCTCAGCCGATCCAGATGTTGGATCGGCTGAGTCGAACTCCTTCTGCACTTCGGGTCAGCCGAACATGCTGAGCATGTTCGGCTGTTTCGAAGCCACACGAAGCAAGCCGATGTACGGCTGATTTCAGCCGATATACGGCTGAAATCAGCCGTACCAGCCTGAAGTGAATAGCCGAACAGTGTTCGGCTCACTTCACTTCTGATCGGTCATTCACTCGGCTGCCCTCGGCAGCTTTGTGAATAGACCCCTAAGACTGGGATGCCATTAAAGTTCATGTGCGTGTAAAGGCAGGCTTCCCAATATTTTTGGTAATATAGGATAGTTAGTGAGGTTGAAAAAAGACACAAGTCCATCGAGTTCAACCTATAGAGATATGAAGAAAAAAAAAAAAGAAGAAAAGCCTATACAAAACGCTATGACCACAATTACCCACTGTTGATGCAGAGGAAGGCAAAAAAAACCTTATAAAGCATGGCTTTTGGTGCCCTGTCCCAACTTTTTTGAGACGTGTTGCTGCCATCAATTTCAAAGTTACCTTATTTTTTCCCTAAAATTGTAAATTTTCTCAGTTTAAACATTTGATATGTTTTCTATTTTCTATTGTAAATAAAATATGAGTTTATGAGATTTGCAAATCATTCTGTTTTTATGTAGATTTTACACAGCGTGCCAACTTTTTTTGGGTTGTATTTGATATACTTTTATGTGCAGATGTGTGGACTCTATAGTTATGCAATAAACAATAAACAACATCTTGCAGTATGGAATATATTTTATTTACAAAGTAATCTTTTTTTGCTTCAGGTGTCTGATTAAGGCAGGAGATGTATGTTTTGTGAAGCAAAGCACTGTAGATGAAAACATTGAAAGTAAGTAACATTTGACACTTTGTATGCCATGGAAAATATTAAAAGTTAAAAAAAAAACAGCCGACACATCTCCTATAATGCTAAATTCTAAAATCTGGAACATGCTTCAAAAGAGCCCAAATCTGCCCCTATTTGGGTGAACTCATTGCCCCAGGGCATTGGTCATGGGGGAGCGTCTGAAAATATTGACTCTTCATTTTCCAAGTGGTAACATTGCTCTCTTGGATTTTGTTAAATACTTTTTCAGTGCCAGTGACAGCAGCATAGTAGAATTGTATTGCCAATTCATTAGTGGTCCTAGCTGTCCCACATTTTTCCCACTTCATGATTTTTATTTCCAGCTTGGGGTATCTTTACAACTGTCACATGCATATGCAGCATGCCTTAAACGGGGTCAGATTTAGGGCTATGGAATGTGTTTAGGGTGCCCTGATTTTAATGACGGACAACTGAATCTTAAAATAGGGCTTGGATTAATTTACAAACAGAAATATACATACTTGCAAATTACAAATAAGGATGCGAAGAGGGGATGTGCACAGGAAGGCAAGTAGGAAGGAACTGGGGAATCAGGGATCTCGATCATTCTGCTAATTCCATAATTCTTAGTCATTATGATCAGCCAGACCTGCCTGGGCTTTTTCTCTCGTTGGAGAACTCCCATCAAGCAGGTCAAAGAAAATCACTTTCTTGTTTGCAGAGTCCAAAAAGACTTGTCCAAGAGGTCATGAAAAGTTACCACTGTCCCAGCTTGTGCGTTGCACAGGATAGAGGTTCGATCATAATATCCCCGTCCCCATCAGCTATGCTACAATACTAAACAGGTGTAGGCACCTAACAGCAGAGGGGCCTGAATGTCCCATGGTATAATGACTCTCAAGCATACCTTCATCAATTAATGTCACTGCTCCAGGAGCCCTTTTATTGTTTTACGACCCTCATTTGATGTACTACAGAGCTACATGTAGATTGCTCTTTCGGGAGGCAGAGGTTATCTTTATATCAGAGTTATATGACATATATTAATTTTATCAGCTCCAACCAGGGCATATTAATTAAAAGGGTTAGAGTAATAAAATAAGAAATGCAGTGCTGGGCCAACTATCGGGCTGACAATAGAGCCCCACTGATTACACTGGGTGAACCACTTCCAATTGTAATGTGCAGAGCTAGGCTGTCAGTGTGACAGCCCGATCCTACAGAGTGCAGGAGACAGCAGGCCAGGGTAGCACCAGGGAAGGCTTCCTCTGCCACTGTTTCCCTTTCCCCATTGCCACAGTACCCATGAAGTAACTTCTTGTCCTAATCAGTCACACAAAGCCCTCTGAGACACAAACTCTGCAAAGACAGCAACAAGGAGGACTGTTCTGACATGTAGGACAGTAGTCCAAAACCTATTATGTTATGTAGGAATGTGTTACTGACTGTCAGCAATGTGCCACTTCTGCCACCCGAGGCTATGAACTATGCTGACTGTGCAGAAATCTGGCCCTGACTGATGGAAATTACAACCCAAAGAAGAAAATCTGCTGCACTGATCTTCATTCTGTACACGCTGTTCTTAATATGCCAGGGCCTTTCGCATACCATGTATCAATCTTATGCAGTGCGTTGGTACTTAAGAGTACAAAGAGAGATTCATCAGATACAAATACCTTTGTATAGTAATTGTTCCATATAACACTAGTTGTTTCAGGGTTTGCTACAATGACATACTGTTACACCCATAAAGAGTGTCAGTTAAAAAAATGTGATCAATTTTACTTTCTAGATGTCAACTCTCCAGCGTGGGCAAAAGGTGTGAAGAAAGATGATTTAGAACTATTGTGTCCGGATGGCACTCGCAGACCTGTCAGTGATTATGAAAATTGCTACCTTGCATTAGTACCAGCCCACGCTGTTGCCACGACCGCAGACAGAAAAGAAACAGTTGTGAGAATTCTCACAGAACAGATGGTATGCCTTTTTCATGCAGATTATTTCTACACTTGTAGCATTATTTCTGCTTAAAACAGTAACTATTTATCTTTATTTAGATTTTTTGTAACTTTCATATAACAATGGGATACTTCATACACAGGAAAGTAATATCCTTTATTAAATTTCAATGCTGGCTTGGTTTTGTCTTGCTTTTCAGCCTAAGGGGCATCTCTGTGGTTGGGGTCATTGCCATGAGTTCTCATTGGCTTTCAGGCAGCAGTTTATAGGGAGAATTCTCAACCCTGGGCATTATTCTGATATTCTCCAAGGTTACACTCACAGAACACAGTCCTGGACTGGAGATTATTGCTCACTATGGTGTCACTAATCAGAGGCGTGAAAGCATCTTCCAACATCTGTGGTCACACCTCTTGCTTTTGATTGGCGCTGAAACAGCAGCTCACTGCTGAGGAGGAAACCATGGAGATTTGTGCTATTTTATAGTTTAGACTCCATTCACCCCTGAGCATGAGTGTTTTCAGGAGATTTTGAAGCTTTTTTTTCCCAGGCATTTCCGGGCTTGGGCACATTTGCTTTAGCCAATGGAAAGCTAGTTACTAGAAGTCAGAGACTGTTAGGCACAAAATTGTGCAAAAAAAAATGTGCATTACACATTTGTTTTTCAGGCATTTTTCTGGAGGTCCCATTAAAATCTGTGAAGCCAAAAAATGATGATTCTGCCTGCCTTTTTCAGGCCATAGGCATCAAACTACATAGGATACAACACCCAGATGTGAATGGGCACCAACTCAAAAATGGGATTCTTCTTGTTGAGCGTTGTCGTGCATAAGCAAAAATGAGGTGTGAATGGAGCCTTGGGGATACATGAGCAAAGATATATTACTTTCAGCATATGTTGTGGTTGAATGGTGTACTGTGGAAGATTGTGTCGCTATCATATGAGGTTTGGGTTTACTCTGGAAGACATTGTAGCATCTTTCCAGTGCTACATTTTAAAGTAATTATTACAATTATATTATTATTATTCTTATTATTATTATAAAGGATTTATATATAGCACCAACAGTTTGCTCAGCGCTTTACAAAATATGGCAAATGTACAATAAAAGGCAGCATTCCAGGGAAGTACTCCAACAGGGTATTCAACAATGTTTTTGTCTTTAATTGTAGGGAAAATTCGGAAAGAACGCAGGTCAGGGCGCACAATTCCAAATGTTTGTTTCGGAAGGAAGAAAAGACCAACTCTTCAAGGACTCTACACAATGTCTGACTGAGGTGCAAGAAAAGACCATGAATGATTACCTGGGCAAAGATTACGCTGATGCTATTGCTAGTCTTAACGAATGCGGCGAATCAGGTACAGTTACATTTGTATTAAATTGTAATAGTGACATCCCTACTTTCCAACTATAGGATTTTCATAGCTCAGGTTTTCTATAAAGCCTTTTATCATTTTTTTAGGAACACATTATAACAGTGACCTAAACAACAGACATTTCATCTCTGATAATCATTGTCACAGAGTATATTGCAAAGGAATAAAAGTGGAATTGAACTCAAAAAGTGAAGATTTTCTGTTATAGGGCATGTTATAGGGCATGCAAAAAAAACATGGAAAGTGGGGTTTCATCCTTTGCATTGAAGTCCTCTCTTCAAATCAAGAGCCCCTCCTTTCACATCAAAGCCCCCTTTTCACACCAGAATTCTCCCCTTCAAAGCAGAGGTCCCCCTTCGCATTAGAAGCTCCCCTTCACATCAAAGCCCCGCTTTTACAACAGAATCCTTCCCTTCAAATCAGAAGCTCCCTTTCACATTAGAAGCACCCTTGACATCAGGAGCCCCCCTTCACATCAAAGCCCCCCTTTCACATCATAATTTTCCCTTCCATATCAGCATCCCCCTTTACATCAGTAGCCCCCTCCACATTAGAAGTCCCCCTTCCTTTTACATCAAAGGCCCTCTTTCATATCAGAATCCCTCCTTTTACATTGGAGTCCCCAATTTAGAGTCCTACCATCACACAATTTCAAGGCATTCCTGAACAAGTCAGAAGGCCATGACACCCAGGTTGAGAATTGCTATTATAGGGAACATTTACAAATGTTAATTGTGCCTAATTATTACCTTTTGTCTTGAATTCCTTTTGAAAAAAAATGTGGGGGTGCCTGGCCACTCCTGTGCCTACATTCTCATAGTTGTATATTTGCACTACTGCTTCTAACGTCCAGTCTCAGGAGATTTGGAGGGAGATTTGGTGATGTCACCAGTGGCGTAACAATAGCCATAGCGACCCAGGTGGCCGCTAGGGGGCCCGGGCTCAGGACACCCCCCTGTTGCCGTGCGGGCCGCCTGGGTCGCTATGGGTTCGAACGCACCGCTGTTCAGATTATTGTGCTTCTCATTGTTCCCCTTGCTGGAGGGTCTGACTCTACCAAGATGATGGTTTCCTGTAACATGGTGCTGAACAAGGAATGGTTCAGTAATGGGGGAAGATCAGCTGCACAGAGACCACAATACAGGAGACTGTATTTTTTGGCGAACAGCTCCCAGGGTTCAGTTCTTCCTCAATGTTATCAACATCATGGTGTACAAAGTGGGGATCCAATGATAACATTTTTACAGGAGGGATGTCATTACTCTCCAAATATAATATACATTACTGTATTTGTCTGTGTACAAGACTATACTTTTTCTTTAAAATATTTACCTAAAAATGGAGAGGCGTCTTATACACGGGGGGCCGAGAGGAGAACCGTGGTTGCGAAACTGCCAATACCTCTGCAAACTAGCCTCACGAGTGAAACTTCCGATTGCAGAGACAAGCTAACAGGTTTCCTCCAATCATGAGCCTGATGTACCTAACGTCAGCTGATGCTACGGAGAGCATGTGGCCAGTGCCCAGATGTAACAGGGAGCCCATAAAAATGTCAGAAAACAAAAAAATACCGGTAAATACCAGTACCAGTAAGCAGCTGTCTTACTCTGCAAAATTTAAACTGGATGCAATCAGTTATGCAAAAGAGCATGGAAATATGGGGGGCATGAAATATGGGGGGCGTCCTATACATGGGGGCGTCTTATAGACGGAAAAATGCGGTATATTTCACAGGAATGATAAAGGGTCAGTAAACTCATAAAAACTTCTAATTTCTGTGTAAACTCTGAGCTTTATTTGCATTGTTTTAATCTAACATTATTTACAAAAGTTAAAAGGCAAGTCCACTGAAGACTGATATTTTGGTTTTAAGTTCTTACAAGCAGATTTGGTCCTCCATTGTCTCTTGGGGTATTATCCTCGGCCATTACACAAAGTTTTGTTCCCCCTTTATGGATCCTTTATTTTTCAGTGGAAGAATTCAGCTGGAGGACTGAACTCCATTGAGGAAATCACTCCAGTGTAATTTATAGGAGATGTAATATGGCACCCAATAGATTTCTGACTCCTGTAGGCACTAAACCATTGGTATATTAGGAGGCTTATGTATAAGAAGTATGCTACAAGAAAACGTTCTCGTGGCTAATAGAAACCAAACAGCTGCTAAATATTATTTGTCCTAGATTGTTCACTTCTCCTGCCTTCTCCAAACACTTCACCCTTTTGTGAATAGACCCCTTTATACATTTTTTGTTGACAATTTTTTAGTTATTCAGAATTAAAAAGTATACACTTTTTGAGGCACCCACATAAAAAATGGAAGGGGGGGGGTGGGTGAAAAAACACATGAAAAGTGGGGTTCCATCCTTTGCATTAAAGTCCTCCCTTCAAATTAAGAGCCCCCCCCCTTTCACATCAAAGCCCCCTTTTTACCAAAATTCTCCCCTTTATGTCTCCTCCCATAACCTTTATTTAACAGTTCACATATTTGACATTTGAATTACATTTTTTGTTGATAATTTTTTGTTATTCAGAATGAAACCCAACAGGGTTTATTTAAAAAAAAAAAACAGCCCTGGCTGCAATATTCACCTCCTCCCTAGCACTTTGCCTCCTCAATCTTAACTGAAGGCATCCTGTGAATGCAGGTCATTATAGAACTACACCCTGATTTGGCATCACATTTCACCCTACACTCACATACAGACAATTAGTTTTACTTTCTGCATTACTGAGGACTGTCCACCTCCGGAGAACATCTAAAAAGTAGGAGACCACATGACTAGGCTAAGAACATCTGGTAAAGGTAAGTATAAAATACAGTACACAAATCCGCTGGGTAGACCATCCAGAGGGGCTGGGGGCCGATGGAAGAGAGAAGCCCAGAGTTGGGCTTATATTTAATGCTTTACAGTACTTACAAACAAACAAATGTATGGGTTGTCTTCCCAGATCTCATGTCTAGAGGCTCATACATAGAACACTGATATCATAAAGCGTCAAGTCTTAGATCTTTTTGAAATACAAAACAGCTTTATTAAATAATTGTGTCTATAAGGATTCAGATTACTGTTTGTTAGTTAAGCATTGAATACCTACAGAATAAATGTAATAAATAAAATATTTAAACCAGAAACCAGGGATCCCTCTAGTATAAGGTCTTGGACCCTGACATCCCAAACTGACATTGTGGTGGAGGAATGTGGTGCTGTACAAATCAGCCCAGTGGTATGTTGTAGTTATTTTTATTTCTTCCCACAAAACTTTTAATGTTTTTTTTTTTAACTTATAAGCAGCACAAGTTATAAGAAAGTCACAAATTAATGATATAATTACCATCCAAAATAGAGATATGTTTTATGAGATATACATTTTCTTTTCCTTCTATAGGACTGCTGGCTGCCTGCACTTTCCACACCTGCAAGCTGCAATGATGGACAAAACCAATGGCGTGTCCACTGTTTCCTTTCACCTATCTGCTTGTCTCCCTTGCAACAAAAAGTGTCTCCTTTTACACTGATTTTTTGTCTTCAATCTCCCAATAAACATTTTCAGTTATATAGTGCCATTTTGTTATTCTTTTGATTTACTTGTCAATCATGACTCAAAAGGTGGAACAGAGGACTTCAGAGGCAGATATATCTTTTTATTTTATATATATTATTTTATATTATCTATCAACTTCATGTAACTCACATGATAAGAAATAACTATAGTAGCACAGATAAATCATACTTCCTAATTAGACCACAATGTATTTTCCTGAACAATCATACCTCCTTTCCTGGAACCAACTTCTCCTTATAACCCATTTCTTAGTCCTCAGTAACTGTTGTCCACTCTTCATCCTTGAGCCCATATTGGCCTGAACAATATGGGGATTGTGAATGACCCTAACAATGACAGCCAGTGAGGGTAATATCCCCAATATCAGAGCTGGTTTTAGACAAAATGGGCGAAAACGAATTGCGAACCCTGCATGCTAAAATTCTATGCTATATGCCAGGGGTGTCTCAACAGAATGAGGTGCCAAAAGCTATTATAAAAAATAAATAGGCACCATGGTGTGCATCATAAAAACGTTAGTATTTGCGCTTATGGATACCACCCTACCCTCAACTGGAAAAGCAATTAAACTGAGTGACAGCCGCAGTGAAAGACCGACAGACCTACGGTACTATGGTCAAAAACTAGTATTGCAATACACCGCGCTAACTCCCGTAATGAAAATTTGAAACACCCATATGTGAAACCGAATATCTAAAAACTCAACCAAGGAAGTAATAATGATCCTGCCTGCAGAATAAATACTTCAAAACGTACTGAAGTCAAGTACAAAATTACATGATGAATCACAACATCCACATGTGAAAAACAAGTAAATATAAGTAAATATCAATGATGTGTATCAAAAAATATTCTATGCATGAAAAAACAGCACTATAAAACTGAATTAATAAATGTCCCCACACTCCATATAGTACATAAATATATTGAACAAACAAAATAATTAAGCCCAAACTTTAAAAACTGGGGCAATGTGCAAAGTTCATATATTCGTGAAGAACAAAACTTGTGTGCAATCTTGTGTTCCACCTTCATATAATAACAATGCTCCCCACTCACCAGATCCCCTCGATCAACTCGCGATTAGTGAAATAAATCTCTGCCCACCTGTCCCACCGCCAATTCCAGAGATCTTTACTCTGTTCAAGAGCTATGGTCTTTGACAACATTTTCATATCCAACACTTCTGATTTACATAGCTGCTATATAGCCATTAAAGTACATTAGATTGTATGTCAATTGCATCTACCCGTGTATGTCCAGCCACCCAGATTTTGTTAGTGTCTCCCCCTAGTGGTGGCTGGCACTGCAGTACGAGACTGTTAATGTGTGTTCATACTAACTATAGTAGTCATATTAGCTGATTTAGCAAACTGCTGTAACTGCTAGTGAGAGCAGTGTGTGTGGTCAGCTTAAGCACAGAGTGACTAGAGGTGTTGGGAGTAAAGTTCCTCACAAGCCTGTGATTTGTGGGTGCACAAACAATGGATGTCGATACCTTACACATCGTCGGGCCTCCCCCATCCCTGTACCCATCAGGACCCCCCAATACATGAGAAATATCAGGTCCAGTTTTAGACAAATTGGGGCCTTGGGCTAATATTAAATGGGGGCCCTAAATGCTGATATTCCATACTGCGTGATAGGATAGGATAGGATATTACATGACTAATGTAGAACTGATGTCCCAATTACCTAGTTACAAAGACTGCCATAACCACCCACCTCCCTCTTCAACCCAATAAAATAGACCACACTTCTTGCTGGAGTTAAATGGCCATAGCAGCCCTTTTATTATGCAAATTAACAGTAAACTTTACAGAAAAATTGCAACAATTCACCCTGAGATTTTTTAAGGTCTTTTGAAGAGCCAAATTATTACTGGATATGGTGTCTCTGTGGAACCCCTTGAATCCGTTAGGCTCCCAGCCGCACCACACCGCCTCGGGGACAACCTGCACAACGACCGCAGACACCTCCATATCTCAATTGCCTGTTCGACTACCATATATCACCATGACTTGAGGACCCATACCAAGACAGGTCTCCCAACCTTAACCATCATCACCTATGTTCTCCGCCTTCAAAATACCCCAAAAAACGCCACCACTGCTATGACAGAAAATGGACCACAACAATGCATTCGGGCGGGCAGGTGGGAAGTTCTTTCTTCATCCGATGAACTCTGAATGACTCCAGTGAGACCCCCCTCCTTGGACCACCGCAGAAGCTCTGCCTGAACTTTTTAGCTGACCAATCAGGTAAGGACCTTGCCCCTTGTTAACCCATCCTTTATTAACTCTTTAATCATTGTTTCCCCATTTCACTTAGTCAAGTATGCCGTCCGCCTATTTTTTGTTGTTGTTTCGGGCCTAACTTACTGTGTGATTGTGGCCATAGTAGCACCAACAGGCCAAGGGGCCTACTTGTAAGGCCATAGAGGCAAAATATAGGTATGTGTGAATAAGAGGTGCAGCAAATAGTACTGAACCTTTCAAATCGGTCTATACAGTAGTATAATGCTACATTTACACTAGACTCCTATCTTTGGTTTATCTAAATGCAGAAGAAATTATCTGGGCGGTATAAACAAACTGTATGGTTCCCAGGTCAAGTTCTCCTGTGTTTAGATGTACTTACATTTACATGAGTGTCTCATCTGACCCTGGACACACAGAATTTTTTTTGATCTAAATGCAGCTAAACTGAATGCACCTAATGGCAAAGTGTGAATGATACCATTAACAATTATATGCCTTTTGAAATGTCCTATAAATGTGAATAAGCCCTAACATGTCCTGCAATTAGTAGCACAACACATGTACATTGACCAAAAACAGTACTGTATTGGATAAAAAGGAAGTGGGGTTATGTATAAAAAGTGAGCTTCAGCAATTTTTCAAAGTTTAGTTGAACAAACTGAAGGGAGAATTTGATCGAATCTGGTTGCCATGGTAAACTGCTCCAGTTTTGATACATTCCCCCCTATATGTTTTATGTGTTCCCATTCCCACAGCATACCTAAAAGTATTTTTTACAAATATTTGTTATGTTTAAGATGTTTTGTTGCAGCAGGCAACATGGCTGCATCCGTTTTTCTAAACACCTTCACAGTGATCTGTCCATATAGAAAGACTGAGGACAGGACTGTGTGGATTAAGTTTCTCTCATTAACATACAATGCAGAAGCCAGGGTTGAAATCTTTTAACCCTTTGTTAGGATGAAATCAGCTCCCACAGTACAGACAGGGTTAACACAAACCTCTCCCAGCCAGGGGCGTAACTAGAAATCCCAGGGCCTCATAGCAAAAAATGTTAAGGCCCCCCTCCCCCCCAACGAAACCCCGCCCCCATTTTTTTAAAAATGTGCTGATCAGCATGTTTTTGTTTACAACGTCTTTTATTAATTTTCCACAATAAATAGACAAATATACAGTTAATACAAACACTTTATACAAGCACTTTAGTGTCCCCAACCCGTCAACAGACCCTATGCATTATGGGAGATACTGTTTTATAAAATACCCTACGGAGAGGGCTGCACCCATCGATATCAGTAGGGTTTATTCTTCTGTATATAAAAGTACAACTATTTGACGAATTTCACAAATACTCTCAATCATCGGTTAAACTAGTGACCCACCCCTAGACAAACCTTAATGCACAGTATTCCCGATTTTATTAAATGACCAAATCATAATTTCATTCCTTTTGTTACCAAAAATAATTATTTCTTTGTGACATTCACCACGATACAATATATATATACTTATATATATATATATAAGAACTGTTATTAAAAGTCCTTGTGACAAGAGTGTCTTTGTTGCATTTAAACTATGAATCTTTATTGAAACTATAATATACCTTAGTTGTATTCATTCCCAAAATTAACAAATTGACACGTGAACCTTATCGTAGATTATCTTATTATAGTGCCAAAATGGTTCATTCCTTGTTACTGTAACCCATAAACCCTGTGTAATAAACAGTGAAATTATTTTTCAATGTTCCTAATTAAAAAGTGCCTTCGTTTCACATATTTCACATGTACTATCCCTCTCCCTATTAGGCTAATATCAACCATTGACCTTAGACCTTAGTACCTTTTAATATACAGTGTTTCCAAAGTTAGTTCAGGGTCCTTTCATGAACTCTCTGATTACAGAATCAACATAATCCATTCCTTGTGTCAGTGACCCAAATTCCTCATATGATAATCAATTGAACGACAAAGAGAATATTAGAGCTTTCTTGTGTCTATAACCCAAGTACCTCGTGTAATAAACAATATGACAGGAGATATTGTATGGAATTCATCGATTAAAGACCCCAACCTACTGACAGGTATTAGGACTTGTTTGAGTATCCATAGAAATATCCTTGTTTAAATGGGTTACAATCCATGATTCTATATCCAATGGTAGTTCATCTATCCCACTTTGATCCCTGCATTACCCCAATATATTGTACACCCTACATTCTCGAGTGGGCATACTCTCCCATATGTTTAAGGTATTGTTTGGGGACACCAAAGGATTCATCACACAACACAGGACAAAAAGAAAAAAGAAAGGAAAAAAGAAGAAAGCAAAAAAGAAAAAAGAAAGGAAAAAAGAGGAAGAAGGGGGCCTTCCCTAAACACTTATCCCATTCCACGTTGTAGTTATTCAAGATTTAGTCAAACCACAGCCGACACTCCCATGTAGCGAATCCATGGTGACCAGGTAAATTCAAAACTCTTTTCAGAGTCCATTAGGATGCTCTGCATCTTCTCATGTACCATTATCCATGATAGTTTTGCTTTAACCTGTTGAAAAGGTATCGTTGGTAGCCTCCAGGATTTTGCTATAGTCATTTTGGCTGCCAGGAAGAAAAAAGATATCAACTTTTCCTGAGCTCTCGAGATTTCTGGTATGTGGCAATTCAATAAAGCATCCTTCGGCGCATGGACTCGAACAACTCTATATATAAGGGCAATGAGTCTGTTCC